TTTTGATACATTTGATAATATGGCATGATGTTGTTTTGAAACAATTGTTACTCATTGATATATATATATATATATATATATATATATATATATATATAATATATATATATATATATATTGGAATGACTTCTATATGTTAATTTACAATAAAAAATGGTTTGACTTTTTAGGACGTTAGATTAAATTTCAGATTTAATTGGAATTATAATTATTTCTTAAAAGGATAAAGCATATGTTTTTAGAGTTAATTTCACAATCAAGTTAAAATTTTGTTTTTGGAAACCGTGGGAATAATACATTTGTTATGTGTGATGTTTTATATAGGAGAGAAAATCAATATATCACTTAAAATGCTTCATTTTCTTTATTTATAGTATTAGTAGTGTTTTATGAGAAGATGTTAATATGTTTTAAGCTCTGTTTGATATGTTTTTTATTGGGTCCGGTAAATACCCATCATTTCATGCCTCTTACTTTATCCTTAATCATCTTTTTCAATCTTACACAAAATTATGCTTTTCGAGAAAAAACCCTCATTTTCCCATATTTCAAAAACATGCTCATTCTCTCCCATCTTTCCTTAAATGACAACAATGCTCCTCCCACCTCTGAAATCTTCAGCGGTGTGCGGCGTTGACTCCTCCCACCTCCACCCTACTCCTTTGTCGCCTTACCTGACCCCTAGCCTCCTTCCAACAGTAAGAAAAACACATATTATTTTCCTCAATTTGTTTGTTCGAAATCTTCTACCATGTACGCTGAAATTTGAAATAAAATGAATGCATTTTTAGTTTTGAAATCTCATATATGTTGGTTTGTTGAAAATTCTCATGTATTATGAAGTGTTTTCGTAAAATCTGAAATGTGAAGTGTTTTCCTAAAATTTAAAATCTAAAGTGTTTTTCTAAACTTATATGTTGAATTTTGAAAGTGTTTTCCTAAAATTAGAATTATGAAGTGTTTTCCAGAAGTCTAAAATCTAAAATATGAATTTATGAACTTGATAGCTTGATTTCGTGAAGTATTTTATGTTTTTATCATTAAATTGATCGTAGACATGTTACAAAAGAGGTCTAGAATAAATTGTAAGCAATAATGTAAGGACATCACTTTTCTTGAACCATGTATACACAAAATTACAACTAATGGTGGGAGGATAGTAACTTGAAAGCAATCTAATGGAATGTGGTAGCAGAGAATCTTAAAAACAAACACGGGTTTATAACTAATCGAAAGCATATGAAAAACTGATATGACAATTAAATATCAAAGGATACGGTTTGACTCAAACTTAAAAACAAAACGAACAATGTTTATAATACTATCACACACACAAAAAAAAATATAATAATAACATCACATATCCAAACAAATCTTATCAAGTTCCAATATTGGAAAAAAATCTCATTTGAAACTATAAGATAAACCACAAAATGAAAACAAAAGAATAACCGGAATGCTCATGGATGGATGTGTCTTATTTTAAAGTCATACTTACATCAAGTTAGGGGCCCAAGTGGTTGCCCAGGCCCTCTATGCTCTAGGCCAGGTTTGATCCACTATTTGCAGTGAGCTGGATCTGGACCCGTAAAACTGATTTTTAGTACAGTTTGTTTTAATTTCCAGTCCCCTCACAACTGACAAGGAGACAATCTGGAGAGGGGAACAAAAAAATTGCTAAAATTGGATTATCCCTCTTCACGCTCTTCCATCCATTACCTCATAATCCCCGTCGCCCAACGCCGGATACAAAACCCTAGATTTATTTTTCTTTTTTCTTTTTTCTTTTTTCAGCGATTTGTATCAATGGATTTGTCAAAGCTCCCTGATGCACAACGCCAAGAGCTTGAACAGCTACAAAAACAGTTTCAGGAACACCAAGCTCAACAACAGAAACAACAACAAGAATCTGCCGCTGCTGCTGCCGCCGCTGCCGCGGCCGCCGCAGTGCAACAACAGCCACCGGCCTATGATCAATCGCAGGTTCAACAATTATATGATCCATCGCAGGCTTACGATCAATCGTATTATTATAATTATAATTACCAAGACCCGTCACAACAACAACAACAACAACAACAACAACAGCAATACGATCCTTCTTATTACCAGAATTATTATCCGAATGCGTATCAGCAACATCATCCGTATACGCATCCGGAGACGTTGGTGGCTACGGCTGTGCCGAGTGAGCAACAACAAAGTTCTGGGTCAGTATCTGGATCATTAGGGACAGGGCAAGTGCAGGATCCTTATGTTCATCCGGGTAATCAGGTAAATTTGGTTGGGACGCAAGGCTACCCTGTTCCTCCAGGTCTTAATGCTGCTGCTGCCGCCGCTGTGGCAGCCTTGTCGCAGCTGACGCAGTTTGCTGGTACTATGGGTGCTGCTGAGAGAGCAAGTGGAGGAGGGTATGGTCCTCCTCCCCCAATGGCCGGTGGGGGACATTACGGTCAGGGGCATTTCCGTCCTCCGGTATGTATGTTACCTCATGTTCAAAAATGTTGAGGATTTTGAAACAAAACCTTGATATATTCTTCTGTTTGGTTATCTTCATTCATTCATGATTATGATTATTCTCTTGGGCATCGGCTTTTATGGCTTTTGTTAGGGAAGTCATTCTTCCATTTAAATGAAGATATTACACTGGCAATTCTGGGTGCTTGTAGACAACTACAAGCTTGCACTTCACACACACAAACAAGACCTTGCGTTAATAACCGGAGCCTTTAGCTTTTAGAATATTGAGAGATGGTTATAAAAGCAATTTGAATGAGTTTTTTATGCTCTGTTTGGACTTGCGTAACTCAACTGTTGAGGTTTTTGTTATAGAGTTATATATGGATCGGAGAGCAAAGTTTAAGGTTCCATGCTGCTGAATAATGACTGACAAACGATGCATTTGAGGATGTGATGTGGGACTCCGGTTGGTTCTTCCACTGTTAGTCTCTTTCTGAGCAGCTAAGTGCAACAAGATAGTTACACTGAGGAGGAAATGGAATGAATATATTTGTTCAAAGGTAACAAACGTATATAATGTATATATATAGGATATTGAGAAGAGGAAGCTGTTGTTCCAAAAACATCAAGTAGGTTGGCATGATGCTGGAGAATCGGACTGATGGACAACAGACAGTTGCATCAGTATGCATGCACATTGAGACGTGTTTTCTTTTTCCCATAACTCTATTTGAAGAAAACACTGCTCAAGCTGGTCATATGTGATTCTCAAAACCTATGTGATGGCTCATGGCTCATAGTTTACAACTTAAACCTCCATAATAATCATCTCTCCATTATGTGCTAGGAATAGGATTTTTCTTGAACTATTTACTTTCAACTCAACTTAACCGACCTAGTTTATTCCATGAAATTAATAATCATATGTGGGGTATATAATTTATTGTCTTGCATTGCATCTTGTATGTGCTCTCTTTTAAAAGAATCTCATCTCTTTAATTTGCAGGTTGGTGACCATCCTCCTCCTCCTCCTTTCCACAGGGGTGGCGGTAGAAGAGGTGGAGGTCCGTTTAGAGGTGGCGGGCGTGGCTTCCGGCCACCAAACATTAGCGGGTATGGTCCTCCACCTTTTCAAGGAAGCGGAAGAGGGCGTGGTGGTGGTGGTGGTCGTGGAAGGGGTAGGGGTAGGGGTAGGGGAGGCATTGGCAGGCATGACCAGCCATTCCCACCACCATCTTCTCACCCTGTGGAGGGTGAAAAGGTGTCAGAAGGCGAAGGAGAAGCTTCGTTGAAGATTGCATGGTGTGAATTGTGTAGGGTTGACTGCACGAGCAAGGAAATCCTGGAGACACACAAGAGCGGGAAACGCCACCAAAAGAACCTCCAAATAAAAGGTGCATACAAACCTGTTGGTGTTGGTGTTGGTGTTGGTGTTGAACAAACAGAAAAAGAGGAAACGAAGGAGAATGAAGCTGCAACGAAAGCAGAAGATGAGCGGGAGAAGAAGCCTGTAGGGTTGAAACGGAAGGTGAAAGGTGGCGGTGGTCGCGGTGGTAAGAGGCAGAGGCAGCAGGGGGTAGGAAAGCCGAAAGTGGTGATACCGTTGATGTGCGACTTGTGTAATGTAAAGTGTGATACACAGGAAGTGTTTGAGCGGCATGTTGGTGGTAAGAAACACATTGCAAAGCTGAAAAGGTTCCAAGGACACCAGGCTATGTATGGTCCCACTGCGGTTCAGGCTCTTTACCCTCCTAACCCTCTTTCACAGGCACAGGCTCAGGCTCAGGCTCAGCCAGCTTATGTTGGTGTTGGTGCACCACCTTCTGATCAGATCCAGATGACTTCTTATGTGCCACCCCAGAACCCTAACCCACAGCTTGCTGATGCCCCTCTTCAATTTGCCACCCAAAATGCTAATGCTAATGCTGTATCGGAAGAACCTCCTCAACCTGCTGGACCTCAGTAGTTAGTTGCTTCTGCTGATGTTGGTGTCAAGTGTCAAGTAGCAGGTAAATCTTAGTCTCGAGATTTTTAGTTCTAAATCTAGATACAGAGAGGTAAGACTTTCTTTCTTTTTTTAGTTTGCTACTTGCTATATTATTGTTTACGCTGAGCAATAAGTATAATGAATGAATTGTTTGCAGTGAAGGTATATTTTTTGGTTCTAAATCAAATCCTACTCCGTTTTCTACTCTTTTAGAGAAATTAAATATCCTTCACATTTTATTCCTACTCATCCTTCTATCATATCAAATGTTGACATGTCTCACATTTAATGAAATTAATACTAATTTAATTTACTTGTTACCATTTGATATGGTAGAAGGATGAGTAGGAATAAAATGTAGAAGGATATTTAATTTCTCTTTTATGTTTTCTAAAATTTATATGAATTTGATTTTATATTTGTGATCAGTTAATATCATTTAAATTACAGTTAGTTGATTAAACAAAGTAGAAATTGATAAACCTAAAATGTGAAGAGGGATTAAAATTGACAAGTAGAAGTTGAACTTTTTGGAGAGATGAATGGTATAACTCCATATTTGGAGGATTACTATTCTTTTCTTTTCCAAAATGATAGACAAAAAAAAAAAAAAAAGTTATGACTTTGGAGTAGTGTTGGAGATTAGGTAAAATGTAATCGCATTTATATATAATAATTTTTATATTAAAAGTTGGCCCATTGCCACTGTTATGGTGCTTGAGTGAAACTTTAACATCAAACCACTCGTTTTCGCATAATAATACATGACTTTAACGAGATATGTATGGATTTATTAGCTATTGTCAGAGCATTTCAAATGGGGATTTATTTTAAAGCTAATTAGACCAATTAGTATACAAAGCACAAATGGGTCCATGGTAAACGTGGCCATGGAAAACCGCCATGCACACTACCCGGAGGATTCGTGGTCCTCCACAACGACCAATTGAATTTGATTTGCAATTTTGCTTCAAACATTTTTTTTACCTAAATAAAAAATTATTATAAATCTACTATATAAATACCACAATATGCCTTTTATATCTAATACAATTCTCACAATCACACATTTACATTTGTGTTTCTTGATCTTTCAAATCTTTCAAATACCATGGCTCCCATCAAAAATACAGAATTGGTCGGAAAAGGAAAAATAGAAGTTAGCAGTAACATGGATGTCGGTTATACTTTTATGTTTTGTCATTTAATCCCTTCATATTTTAGTTATATTTCATTTTACTTTCTCGAATATATTTTATTTTAATTATTTATATTAAATATTGATAAAGCTGTTAGATTGGTCCATGCAGTATTAAAAAAACTTTGGATGGAGTTCAAAAACTTTTCCACTTGTATAGAAGGTTCAAAATCAAGGGGTTTTTTTTTTTTTTTTTTTGTAAGTCATTGGTAAACTTGAAATGATATTTTTGCCCTTTTTGAATTTCTTTTATGCTTTTTTTGTTTTTATTTTAATACTTTTTTTAATTAAAAAATAAAAAGAAAAATATACAGCTCTTTAAAACAACTTCATCGAAACCATTGAAGCCCTAAAATTGAAACCAATATCATTCCATGGGAATCAACATCTAGTTTTGATTGAAATCACGAGGGATTTCAAGGTCCGAACATACAGTAATGGCAAGCCAACCATCAAAGCGAGAAGTTTTGGGTATCTTCGACTCCATCATGAGCTGTACCTACGAAGTCACATGTAACAATGACCTAATTCCAATTTTGTTACAGTTTTGGAGCCCTAAAACAAACACCTTCGTTTTTTCATGGGAGGAGCAGCAGATGGTGATGAGTGAGGTATCGATGGTTGGGTGGGTTGTTAAATCAGAGACACCTCCTTCTTTCTCTTTGACTTTCTTTCTCTTTCCTTTCTTATTCTTGTCAAGCAACACCAGATCATTATGTCTCTATCCTATGTTATCCACTAAATAATCTATGTATTTGGGGAATTTTGGCCAAACGAGTCTCTTTTGATTTGGGAGACATACTCTAGGTCTTGCAGATCTAGGTCTTCTTCGAAATCATCATCATCTTCTTCAGAATTTGGAGATTATAGGAAGTAGTGAGAGTTACAGGTATGGGTGTGTGTTTTGACTTGTGTGTGTATATATATGTGTGTGTGAGAGAGAGAGAGAGGGAGAGAGGAAAAAAAAGATATAAGGCATTACCAGTGGAGTGATAATACATCTTCACATAAAAATTTCAAACCCAAGAAGACAAACACGATCTACTTTTAATAGATAGATGAAGAGGTGGGCAGAGATTGTGGGAATGGAGACCAGAGCAGGTAACATTAGTCTCACTGCCATTAAGTCACGGATTGAAGTAAATCACGACAGGGAGAGATAAGGGTATTCAACATTTCAAAATTGAATTCCATAATAACCACCTTAATTCAAACCATCTAAGGCGATCAAGAACCGAGAAATAGGAGCCAAGATATTAAAATCATGATTAAAAATCATTGATAAGTGTTGAATTTTGATAAGCTTTAAAGATTCAAATTTGAAATCTAAAATTCCCTAAAACCTGGAATTCGTTAAATCTTGACCAAATGTCTCAAGGGCATATTTGGTAGTTTACTTTAAAAAAAATATATGCTGAGGAGATACCACATGTCAAAAAATGACTCTTTTATTAGATAGGAGATACAAAAAGGTTCAATTTTTAAAAGTTCTTTTCATAGTTCATTGGTAATATCTTATACATATATATATATCCTTGAACATGAACTCAATGTGTAAAGCCAAAAACCATACATTTTATTAAGCTAAAAACATACATTTACAATCCACAAATGTAAAAAAAGCAAGATTTATGATTGAAAAGATAAATGGATCAAATGTGAAGGAAACCTTTGTTACCTCATTGAGTAATTTCATCAAACACTTGGTGTTCGATTGAAAGCTAATGAATCTTCTTGAACTGTTTCCTAATATTTAAACCATTTTAAGAACAATCATAGAGGCTTCTTATGGTGTGCAATATAGGTCCAATGGAAAAAAACATTTCTATGCATTTCTTTCGGTGCATCAAAACCCACAGACAAAAGGAAAATGGAGAAAAGTTTGGAGAATGTTCAAAAAATTGCATAAACTACAAAATGAAACCTGGTCTTCATTTCCCCGTGGTTGAAGCAAGACAACGAGTAAACAACTGAAATTATAAGTATAATATGAATCTCCACTTGTAATAAATTGAGATTTAAACACATAGAAAGAAACCTATATCAATACAACAATTGGAGATGACGAAGGTGGTAGAAGGCGGTGGAGCGATGTAGAAAGGATCTGTGAAAAAAAACCTACACCTTCAATTTTGTATAAGATTAGTTTGATGAGTTGTTATGATTTTAGAAGGAAACAGTTCCTTATATTTTGTAATTTCCTGGTTTCTTGGGATTTTATATGAGAAATCATGCAAGAAGTAGAAATGATTCTTCAACAATCTCCGTGATTTGGGTACTGATTTATTGCACAGAAGTTGGAAACTCTTAATTGTTTCCAATGAAGAGCGAGAATGAAGGCGGATAAGGTACTAAGAGGCACAAAGGGCATTATCGGAACTTCACTTGGAAACTTTGAGCGGGAAAAGTAGCTTGGGAGGGGCGTAGCAACTGCCACGTGGCATAATTGTACTGTTTTATTATAATAGAGGATATATATATATAATATATATATATATATATATATATATATATATATATATAGGTGGGTTCAACTGAGAAAATAAAAAAGGTTGAGAATGGGGGAATCATTCTCAGCCACCCATTTAATCTAAGCATAAAAAGACACGGCGGCAAACTTGTAAATATGTTAATAACCTTCAATCTCAAATACGTAACTATAGAGAATTCGATAACAGTTCGTTCATCATCAAAAAATTTCCTCCAGCCTTCAATAATCATCCAGATTTCTTTAACTAAGCTGGAACTTCTTTGCTGTTCATGAAATTGGAATCGGAGTTCTGGACTCGCAGTCACAGTCGACATTGAAGGTCTCAGAATTAGTACTCACAGGTTCCCAATCGGATTTTCGGAAATCTAAATCAAAATGAGAAATCGATCAGGCATAAGATGTCACATCTGAAGTCGAAATCGGAAATATATGATGATTTGGAATTGATAACTTGATGTTTTTAACATTTTTAAAATAGTTAACTTGTATGCACTCCAACTGTTTGATGAAATGCACAAACTAAATTACCACGTTATATTCACATATGAATATGTTTTTTCACCTGAATCAGTATATGATTATTAACAAACATGCAAGTCTGTATGTTATTCATATGTGAATAACATATAAAAATTATATATATTTGTCAAAATACCTTCAAATATTCATATGTGAATATACTGTGTAATATTCATAAGTAAATATATCATCTAATATTCACAAGTAAATATACTATGTAATATTCACATGTGATATACCATCTAATACTATGTAATATTCACATATGAAATATCATTTAATATTCATAAGTGAATATACCATATAATATTCACAAGTGAATGCATCATCCAATATTAAAATATGAATATACTATGTTTATTATATGTTATATTCATATATGAATGATACTTAAATTGTGTGTGTATATATATATATTCACAAGTGAATATACTATGTTAATATTCACAAGTGAATGCATCGTCCAGTATTAAAATATGAATATACTATATTTATTATATGTTATATTCATATATGAATGATACTTAAATTATATATACTTTTTATTCATAAGTGAATAACGAATGTACTGTAATAAAATCTGATGCATTTTTATTCATTTATGAATAACGATAGCTGAAAATATAAAAAAAAAAATTTATTTTATCTTAAAACTATATCAATATGAGTGTTTATTTGTAGAGAATAAAAAATCATGAATTTTGGTATATTTAAAATCATTTTTTATTATAAAAATAGCTTCTAAAAATTAAAAAAAAAGGAAAAAAAACTATGGTTTTGTATATATTAAGGTAATGATTAGCATAGTTTAAGGAAATATGTTTTGTTGGAAAATACATGTACATTCCTTTCCCATTTTCGCCATTACGTTGGAGATTTTTGCAGCAAAAATAAATGATTGGCTGAGAAGGATTTCTCCATTGTCAACCTTTTTTTTCTCAATTGAACCATCATATATATATATATATATATATATATATATATATATATATATATATATATATATATATATATATATATATATATATATATATATAT